GATGAAGAAAGTACCTATGATCAGAGCAGTATCATTCAATCTGTTGGACTTATTAGGATTTTTAAAAAAACATGGCAAATAGTATGATGAACTGTATATATTATGTACTGTATAGAAGCACATAGAACTTAACATAAACTTGGATTCATTCATTCATGGTGTATTGCTTGGTATTAACTGAATAAAACATTAATTAATCAAGGACAGAATTAACCTAAATTGTCTAACAGCGATATGGATGGACCAATATGTTTTTTTCAGTGCTGATTCCGATTATTAGTAATCAAAGGGTCAGAAATATTCGAAACTGATATGTCAACACAAAACTACTGCTACATAAAGACACTTGGCATGGCTTCCAAATGTTTCTATTATTTTGTCTAACCCATTTATATCAACAAAGATAAGCTAAATAACAGAAACACCTCTGTATAAACAGTATAATCTTCATGAAGGACGATTTATTGCAGGGCTGTTGTATTAGACTATATCAGTTTTAGCTAGATGTTCCTAATAAATTGTCAACTGAGTGTACATTAGTAATTATCAGTTGTATGCAAAGGCTGCAAAGAGCCTGACTGGAATTAATTAATTGCTTTTGGTGCTGTTTCACCTGGGAACTGATACTGGCTCCCTGGCAGCCTAAAGATGTTGTTTAATACTTATCATAAATTATTATTATCATCACCATATAAGACGTTTTACCCCTCCTCTTACCCTTTAAAAATGAAGCGCAGTAACACGTTTCAGAGTTAATTACCTTTCATTAACAGCAATGAGTGACCGCTGACATGCTGATGTCTCATCGCCACTCTCTGGGGTTTCTGTTACCGGTAGAGTTTATTGCTGCTCTATCTGAACAGTTAATGTTGTTGTTTTCTTCATTACAGTGACTAACTACCTGCTGTACATTTAAACTTGCCACTTCTGCTCTTGCACCCACAGCTCTTTGCTGCTTCTGGCGAATTTCACTGATTCAGCATTTGTTTACATGCTATTCAGAACTGAAGTGTGTAAAAGACAGTTTTCTCAGTCACTTTACTCATTCACTTCACTCATTTACCAATCATGCCGAGTTTGTTTAAGCTTTAAACCATCTGACAACATTAACACATTCTAGCAACACACAGAAAATTTGCTACTTCTACAAAAAATGCTAAAATGCTACAAATTATGGCTAGCGCGCTAATCGCAGTTAGGTTTTCACTTTAATACACGTTAATGAAGCAGTATAAACATACATACTTAATGACATATGTTTATCCATCTATAGCATTATTTAATCTGAAATAAATGACATGAACTCAAAAAACGTCACAAAAATAATAGAGTATATGTTTTCTTACCTGATATTTTTGCAGGATGTAAATTCACTTAACTTCTCTTATGTGACCAGAATCCATCAGACCTTCCCTATTTGATACCCTACAACTCAAATTCGCTCAAAATAAGAATTTGGTAGACATAAAATAATCCAGGTAACAGACGGTAGCAGGACTGAGTGTGGACACCCAGCAGCAGCACTCCCACTCAATACGTATTTTCAAACATAACCGGTAAGAGGCGCGTACAGTTGTCATTGGCCAGTTGCCTTGATGACAGTCAGATCAACCAATCATGCTCAAATGCTCACCATGAGACGGTGCATTTGTTTCAGTGTGGTAACATAGCTAGGAAAATTTTGAACAATTATGTCAAATATTGCTTTTGTAGGGTATGAATAAAAGTTTAATAATGTAAGGTCACGTTTTATTAATAGCTATGGGTTTAGACAGACACACACACATAAACACACACTGTACAGTATACAGAATACCATATTTTAGTGAATATCTAGTTTATTGAACAAGGTTCCCTGAGCTGATGGAATCAGGTGGCCACAGCAAATGACTTGATCAAATTTGTACTGTCTTTTATGGTATATGGTACATGGACAAATACACAGCCCAGTAAAGTCTAGGCAGCAAGACAACAGCAAGAAGCGCCTGGGTTCAGCTTCAACCCTGATAAGAATCAGGGTTGAAGCTTGCAGTGTGCTTGCATGTTCTCCTTGTGTTTCTTCCAAGGACTGTGATTAAGTACAAACACATGCACGTTTAATAACATTTAAATTAATTTATGTAATTTTACAGACACACACAATTTTTAAAAAACAGAAAATTACTGTAAAGATTTTTTATTTTTCCGTAAAATTAGGAATTTTTTTTTTTACAGTGTTTCTTTCTTTTTTTTTTTTTTTAAAGTTTTACTGTTAATTTTTTTTTAAGTATATTTTTTGGGCTTTTTATGCCTTTATTTGATAGTGCAGTACAGAGCGACAGGAAAGGGGGAGGCAGAGAGATTGGGACTGACATGCTGCAAAGGCCTTCTGATGCGGGACTCGAGCCGGGGCCAACTGCAGCGAGGACTGTGGCCTCTACACATGGGGCGCCTGCTTAGACCACTACGCCACACAACAGCCCCATTCTTTTAAAAATACTGAAGTCAGGAGTTAGAATCCTCCTCAATGCAAATCAGCTACCCTTATTCCTACAACTACATCTCAACAAAACACAAAACATTCAGATTTATCATATTTTCTACTTCTTCATTCCACTGTTATGTTTTATCATTAAAAGCAGTTGAAATCAAAGATACTTTGTCTAAGCAGCAGCTGTGACTTATTATCAGAAAACTGAAAGTCACAATCTCAACATAAAATTGTATTTACTCATTGATTTATTTTTTGGTCAATGCAGTGTGCCTCTATAGTATAGTATGTGTATAATAACTCCCCAGGTGAGAACACATGACCTTCCTATTCTCATTGGTAGATAGAGCTGCCAGGATTTCACACTGCACCTTTAACCTCTCTGTAAATCTGAAATACTCACCTGTCCTGTTGTCTCAGTTACTATTAGTCACCTGCTCCTGTTTCCCTTTGCAGATTGTCTTTAGTTACCCTGTGTGTGTATAGACACATGAATTTCCCCTAGGGGATAAATAAAGTATCCATCTATCTATGTCTCTATCTATCTATCTATCTATAGCTCTTTACTATTTGATCCCATGGTTCTTAGTTTGTTCCCTGGGGTTGTGGATTTGCTTCCTGTCTACTCCTGTTTGCTCTGTTGTTTACTTGTGAGTGACCTGTTAAAGCTTCAGTAACACTCTCGTCCACCATGAGTTTCTCTCTTTGAGTTTGGAAAATATTAATTCCATTTGAAAAAGTATAAACCATTTGAAATTATTAACTGGTTGTAAAATGTGTAAACAGGAAATGATTTCTGGAGGAATATGATTCCTGGATTTTGGTTTACTGCAACTGTAGACGTCTTTGTTATGGATGACTGGCACCAATGACTGCTAGGAATAGGCTGACACAGCTGTCAATCAAGCAAACAGGCTTTAGCTTCATGTTAGAAAACATGTACTGTGTTGGGACTCATTCACGAGACTACATGTTTCTTTGTTCCACAGACAAAGGAACTCACTTCCCCACAGTTCCTCACTGTTCACACCTGGGGACGATCCTCCCCCACAGGCCTCACTGACCAGTCAGTTTTGGTCAGTGTGTGATATGTGACCACTCAGGGTGTCACCAAACAAAACCAGATCTCCTTCTCTGTTCAATCCTCTCTTCTCTTCTTGGCTTGCTCAGGAGAGCAGATCCTGCTCTCCCCTCTCGGCTCTTCAAGGGGCAACAAGGCCCCAGCTCTGGAAAGCCCTGCTACCTGAGAAACCAGCTCTCTCGCCGGCCTGCTCAAAGCAGCCTGTAAATACTCTTTTCCTCAACAGCAGCAACCTGCTTCGGATTAACTGAGAGCAAACCAAGTTCTCCTCAGAATCAGCAGCTACAACACAAGGTCAGCCAGGATAACAGTGGAAGCAATATAGCCAGACAGGACTTTACTCCACCAGGAAGCCACCCAACTCACTGGACTTAATAACAACACTGGAAAGGACCTCTTTGTTTTGTTCCAAGGACTTGGTAACGTTAACTGACTGGGCTTAACCTCTCCTAGCTAAGCAGCAGAAGTCTTAGCTTTGTTAATGTACATGTTGATTAATGTCTTGTTGTTGAAATGTTTGCTTAGGTTGTGGTCAGTCATACAATTAATCAAGTACTTGTATGTTCACACACATACCTGTACTACCTGTACTGCAGCTAACCTTCTCCCTCTAACCTGGTACCTTTAGATTACATGAGCTAGGCTAACAAAGAAGTCAAGTCAAGTCAATTTTTATTTGTATAGCACCAATTCAGAGAGAATTCAGAATTCAGAATTCAGAGAGAGAGAGAAAGAGAGAGAGAGAAAGAGCAGGAGAGAGCACAGAGAAAAGGAACAAGAACATACAGTGATAGCAATATTAATAATAGTGACAGTAGCGGCAGCAATAGTAATGTAGTGACAACTGTAGTGCTCCTACTGATAAAAATAGTAATGACAGTTAATAATATTAATAATAATCATTATTAATTATAATAAATTGTAGCAGGTTTAGCAGCAGGTGTTGAACATGATGATGGGGGCAGTAGGTGGTTTGTAGTTGCAGGTCTAGACTCTACAGTTCTGGAGGCGGGAGGACCTGTGTGAGAAACTCACACCTTCCCTCCCCCACACACTAGGTGGTCTCAGCGGCTTTAAGTATAACTACTGGTGTGTTTATGTGTGAATATTGCCAACCTCTACTCAGTAGAATTCCAATCCTTCAACTTTTGTTGATATGGTAGTTTGGTTATAGTAATTAAAGTAATTATTAATCAGAGTACCAGATTAATAGTAATAATTTGAGACTGAAACAATATTGGCTGTTTTGCCTATTAGTTTAGACTGGTGCCCCCAAGGACTTAAATTCATTTTAAAGTTATTATTTAATATTGATATTTTTAATATTAATATTTTCTTAATTTATGATAGCCAATAAATTGATAGACAACCGAAGATCCAACATTTAGGCAGAGCTCAGATCCAACAACTGTATTTGCAAAGTGAGGTTGTGAAACAATGGGGACTCACCTAGGTTGAGGTAGAGGGCCAGTCTTCCTCGGTGAAGCTCCAGGGTGATGTAATCTCCTCTCTGTCCCTCCCCATGCAGTAAAACTCCCTCAGCCTGGCGGCTCTTGAAACGCAAAGAGATCACATCCTTCATTGTGGACATGGACTTCTGGTTGAACCGGTACAGTAGAGAGCTTCTGCCATCAAAGTCCGCCACATCTGACTCTACAAGAAAGACAAGTCATCAGAATAAAAACTGTAGAACACCCTGAACACATGCTGTATGCTCAGATACACAGCTGATGTTTTCAATGTATGATTCAAACTTATAAAAGTGTGCGAACCTACAGAATCACAAATCTGATCAGTCTGATCACAGCTGTGCTCAGACTGAAAATAACCATGGGTCAAATCAACACATCTGTGTAGGTGCAAGCCTGCAGCTTCAACTTCACGTAAGAAAAAATCATGAACTAAGAAGGTTCAAATTACACATCACAATACTACAGAGCAGTTTAATGAGCCACAGCAACAAAACACCATTCAAAATTTATTTGGACAGTCAACCTGCAGTGTTTACACAGTATTTGGAACATTTCAACAGGTTATTGATTGAGATTCAACAATTTCAACTATTTGGCTAACTGAAATAATTTCACGTTTTATAGTTTTATAATGGAAACCACAAATAAATAATTAGCAGCACTTTTTGCCGCATTTAAACATTAAAACTTGAAATTTCCTGGAGAAATTTTGAATATGCCTGCTGCTTGGTGCGTGTAATTCATTCCTCACATTTCAATCTGTACAAAGGGTGTACTTTCAGTTTCATTCATGTCGTAGAGACTTATCCTGAGATTGACCTCAGTCACTGCAGATGTCCCTCAAAAAGCCTTTAAAAGCTGTCACGACTGGCGAAAATAACTTCACACTGATGGTTCCAAATCCAAATTTGTCAGCTTTGCCTATTTGTGCCCAGTAACAACTGCCGAGTAGCACCTGCTGAGACACTGGTTGCAACTGGCGACTGTGGCCACCAGGAGGAGGAGGTAAACACACACACACACACACAATCCCCTCTGTCTCCCTAGGCAGACAACAACTTTTAAGATGAAACTTGTGTTCGAAAAATGGGATATCGGAGGGAAAGCTACAAGTCCTATTGAAAAGATCACCTTGCCACAATAATAAAATGGTTGAAAAAGCAGATCATATTAATTGAAGTACAGGTAAGTAAGGTAAATATCCAAAGGTGGAGATGGTTTGTGTGTCTGTCAATATATGTGTGTACATATATGTGTACAAAAATGGGTTCTTAACAAAATTGTTGTCATGATCATAGACAGATAGACAGATGAAGACACACATATACACAGTGCTGATTGCCTCATAGATGCTCTCATACTTGATAGTAATAACAATAAGAGTTAATGAGTTAGCAAATAAGAATAGGTTTTGTCCATTTCTCCCCAGATACTGCATTAGTAATATGTAGCAGAGTGACTAAAGACAGCAGACATCGCTGAAGATGTAATAAACATCACATTCCTCTACACTGAAGTTACAACAACACCATACCAAGCGAGTGAGAGAGAGGAAGAGAGAGAGAAGCTAGTGCTAACTGCTAAGGTAAAGTAACTAGCAGATCTGAACAATATGTAAACAACTGCTGAGTTAGAGAAAGTCACTAAAAGGAGTAGAGAGCTCTGAGTGCTGGAGCAGAACTAGTGTAAGTTTAAATGTACAGCAGGTAGTTAGACACTGTGATGAAGAAAACAGCATTATTAACTTTGTTCAGACAGAGCAGCAATAAACTCTACCAGTAATAGAAACTGACTGGAGAACTAATTTTCTACCGTATTTCCGAGTTGCCTGTGAATGCAGCATCATCCCACCTGCATTCAGCCTTTTACGGCTAGTACCAGCCTACTCATAGCGTTCTTTGGATTGGTTGGTTAGTTTTAGGTGAGATGAGTGATAGATCGTCAGTAACAGGGTAAGAGAGATTGGGGGGGCCAAGCACTGAGTCTTCTCAAAGACAGTCAGACATGTCTGCAGCTGCTCTGGCTCCCAATACCCCAATACTTTAAGTTAGCATCTGCCAAAGTTGTGTTATGTGCATTTTATTGTGCATACATTACTGTATCTCCCTTTACACTAAGGTTTTGTGTTTGCAGATTATTTATAGAGATAGATAGATAGATACTTTATTTATCCCCTATGGGAAATTCATGTGTCCATTAGCTCATTTTTGATCATAATAAAAACAGTTAATGATAAATAAACAATAATAATTAAATTAGTCCACTTCATAAGGCTGAGTTGTTGTATAGCCTGATGGCAGTGGGAACAAAGGATCTCCTGAACCTGCAGCTCAGGTGAAATGAGACTGCTGTAGTTGCCTCTCTGTCCTGCCATAATGTTGTGGAGAGGATGGTTGGTATTGTCGAAAATGGCCCCCATCTTATATTTCATGCGTCTGTTCACAACAGTCCTGGGTGAGTTCAGACTCTTGCCAAGCATTTTCACCAGCTTGTCCAGTCTCCTTTTTCATGTTGGACATGCTGCTGCCCCAGCAGACTGCAGTATAAAAAAGTACACTGGCCACCACTGACTGATAAAACATGCAGCATTTCACTGCAGACATCAAAGGACCTGAGCCTCCTGAGGAAAAACAGCCAGCTCTGCCCTTTCTGGTAGATGGCATGTGTTTTCAGGGACCAGTCCAGTTTACTGTCCAGGTGCACACCTAGGTATTTATAAGTGTGCACCACCTCAATGTCTTTCCCCCGAATGTTGACTGGATGAAAGGTGGGCCGAGACCTCTGAAAGTCAATAACCATCTCCTTGGAGTTGAAGGTTTACAGAAGGAGGCAGTTCTTGTTGCTCCATTCGCTGGCCATCGTCAGATTTCTGTACTCCTCTTCCTGTCCGTTCCTGATGCACACCACAATAGCTGTGTCATCCGAGTATTTCTGGATGTGGCTGGACTCAGAGTTGTATTTAAAATCCGCCGTATACAGGGTGAACAGGAACAGAGCCAGAACAGTCCCCAGTGGAGCCCCAATACTGCTCATTACTGTCCCTGGAACACAGTTACCCAGCCTGACATACTTTGGTCATCTTGTCAGTTAATCCACAATCCAGGACGTGAAGCGGGGATCCAACCCCATCCCTTCCAGCTTGTCTTTAAGAATGGAGGGTTGGATGGTGTTAAATGCCCTTGAAAAATCAAAGAACATAATCCTCATGTAACCACCTGGCTCAACCAAGTAAGAATGGGCCCAGTGGAGCATGTAAAGGATGGCATCATCCACTCCAATATGTTCCTTGTAGGCAAACTGTAGGGGGTCTAGTGCATGTTCAACCTGTGGCCTCAGAAGGCGGAGAACCACAGCTCCAGGGTCTTCATGTGTGATGGTCACCGGTCCTTAGTCATTTATCTCAGCCGGTTGTCCTACTTTAGGTACCAGAACAAGACATGACGTTTTCCACAGGACCGGGACCATCCCTGTTTGTAGGTTTAAGTTGATATCCTCTGGAGAGGCTCAGCCAGCTGGGCTACACTCCACCCTCACCTCCTCCGCTGTAAAGGACAGGAGACTTGAACCCAGGGTTTGTTGTTTGGAAAGCAGTGTACAGTCCTTGCCGGTATTACAGTGTCAATAAAGAAGTTAATGTAGTCTGTGGTACATTCAACCATTCTATCAAAGTCAGGGTCCTTGCTGTTATCATTTTCCTATTAATTTTATGTCTTTCACTGTGAAATTATGTGAGGACAATAGGTTTGACATGTTCCTCCAAAACCTTATTTTTTTTACAGTCTATCTGTCACACTCTGATGTTGGCCTATTGTACTCAGCTATGACAAAATGACCACTAGAGAAGCCTTTTGAGTTGTGATAAAGAGATGGAGTTCATTTGTCAACATTGACTGAAGTACAATATATTTCGGAGTTTCTGACTTGAATCTATGTAGCTTTTTTCTAAAAACATTCTTAATAAAGCAATTCAAACTTTAAGTATGAATGTTAATACTTTATTAAAACAATCTTTTAAGTTATGATTTACCACAACTAGCAACCCACCCCACCCTTGGGCCAGTGGTGATCGGGTCCCCGCAGAGCGGGGCACCACTGGTGGGACATCCTTTATTTCTCTGCATGGAAGGTGGCAACCCTAGTACTACAGGTATGTGTGTGAACATACAAGTACCCAATTGACTGTGTGACTAACCACAATCTAAGCAAACATTACAACGTTACCCATTCCTTAGAACAAAACAAAGAGGTCTTTTCCAGTGTTGTTGAAGAGTCTAGTGAGTTTGGTGGCTTCCTGCTGGAGTGAAGTCCTGTCTGGCTGTGTGGTCTCTGTATCGGAGAGGAGGTTAGCTGTTTTCCCCTTTGTTATTCTAACAGAGTTATCTGTTCCACGCTAACTCTGCTGTGGCTCCTGCTGCTTGGAAAATCAGCTGGCAGACTTTGGCGCTGAAGTTAACTTTTTTCATGCTGTGTTAAAAAGCAGAGTGAGCAAGAGTGTTGCAGTCTGCTTTGAGCAGACCTGCAGGAAAGCTGTTGTTCCAGGTAGCCTTGTTCTGACCTGGTGCTGGGAGCCTGGTTTCTCCTTGAAGCACCAAGAGGGAAGAAAAGCTGTTGCTCCTGAGCCAGCCAAGGAGAGAAGAGGAAGAACAAAGAAGGAGATTGGGTTTTGTCTGGTGACACCCTGGGGGGTCACATGTCACACACTGACCAACACTGAATGGTCAGTGAGGTTTCTGGGGGGAGGGTCATTCTCAGGTGTGAACAGTGAGGAGCTGAGGGGAAGTGAGTTCCTTTGTCTGTGGATCAAAGAGCATGTGGTCTCCACCACCTTGAATGTACCGAGTCCCAACACAGTTACATCTACAGTCATGTGCTGTTACAGGCTGAAGTCTGTACATATGCTCACAGCAGCGTTGGCTCACAGGGTGAGCTCTCCATAGAAATAAAAAGTCATGACTGGCTGTCTGTGTTTTTTGTCATTACCCTGCCATTGATTTTCAGTACAGTCTCAGTAAAGCTAATGTTCTGTAATCTGAATCAATAATACAATAATATCTCCACATCAGATCAGACACAACATATTAGCCAATCTCTCCATCTGAAACTGACCTCAGTGTGTCCTGTAAACAGTGTCTCAGACAGAGAGCAGAAGAAGAGCGAAACAGAATCTGATGGAGTGAGATG